AGAATCACATGTTACCAGACTTCCTAAAGGCATGGTTAAACATACCAAGCTGAAAATTAGTTTACTATAAACTATTTAATGTATTATGTGTTATTCTATTTATTCTTCCAGGCTGAGAACAACAACCATTTCACTGCCAACAAAGAGCTTTGTGGACTACAACTCAATTATATTCTTATCTTAAGAGACTGATTATCTTGCTAGTATAAACACATACAGTATATCTTGGAGCTACTTCTACGATAAGGATTGTTAAGCTAGAACAGACCAACACCTGTGTTCTTCCCTGATTTAAGTGAATTATCTTCTCCCTCTAGTGAATGTGTGAGAGCAACATAATGAAGTCTGGCAGGTCAGCTGTCTTTATATCTAGCAGAGTAAACCATAAGAGTATCACTGCTCGCAGGACCTAAGCTCACATTTTCTTTTCTGGGATGTTGACCGGTATATTTTTTTTTCTGCGTGCTCGAGTTATTTCAGACACATTGCTCAGTTAAGACCACACACAAATAGGCTAAACATCCACGATGCAGCTCACATTTGTCGTAGCGCGAGTATGTTATTACGTTGTTTATCGTGACGCGAATAACTGATCCCCTTTGATAATTATAATACGCTTGTTGATACCCGTGAGAACAAAGTGTCAGTTGCTTTTACGAAAAGTAAAACTCCACATCACTTCGAGCGCCAAATTTGTAATGTCAGGTGACCTGTCTGCCGCAAGTGGAACAGTGTGGGAATTCTCGCCAAAAAGTGAGCATTAGGTAAGACTGGCGCCAAAACTACAGCACCATCTGGCGGTAACACGGCTGCGGTGGGCAGCCTTGCGTACATAATCTCTCCTCGCCTCCACAATGACAGGGTAAAAATGCGTCGTTTTATAAACGCAGACTATATTTAAAGGCAAGACCCTAGTGGCAATGTCGAAAAGCGACCACGAGTACTTTTTTACAACATAGGTTAACCTGACAGGGCCCTTACTGTACATTATCATAAATAAATAAAAAAAAATATCCACGGATAGCCTAATATAGTGTTACAGTTGGCCAGGAATAATTTCTAATTATTACCACCAAAGAATTCACAGAGGCTATATATTGCACCTAAACCTCATTTCTATATTTAGAGTCGAAACCTGGCCAGCGTATCATGAGTTCGCCAACTGAATTATAAAAAATGCTAATACTGTAGTAGGTAGTCCGTAGTCTCCTTGATATCACCACCTTACATTAACGTTCAATATAATTATTCTATATTTTAGTTCCTTTATAAGAGTCATGTTTGAGATTTTAAAATTGACATAATATTATTTTTGAAACCGGTGTGGGAGATTTATATAGAGCGTATATGGGCGTAAACCGATCGTCCAAACGGCTAACGAACCGATCAGTGGTGAAGAGGATAAATGTAAAGTTAAAGTAAAAGTAAAAATCAGCGTCATACCAAATTTGATCCCTACCCACCTACAGTCCACCCTCCATTCATTTTCTATACATCCTCCCCTTACTTCTATGCACCTACACACCCCACCCTCTCCCTCCCTGTCGTTCCCTACCGCTCCACTAGCCTTGCCAACAACAGCACCAGTTAGTTGAAACTTGATAAAAACAAAGTAAAAACGTGGATGCCTACGACCGTAAACTCCTGTTATAACCGAACAGTATTTTGAGAGGAAACTGTTGTAACGTTTCTGATGCTTTCCACCTGATGTTCGCTGTACTGTGTGAGAGAAAGAGAGAAATAGACAGAGAGGAGAGATAAACAGAAGGAAAAAGAGGGAGAGAGAGAGAGAGAGAGAGAGAGTTCAGTAAACCATCATTGGCTGGCCGACAGTCAATATTTGATGTGTTTATTTCCATTACCGAGACTGCATGTGTACCTGGGGTGGTCCAACCTTTCTACCTACATGTGTATACCAACCCATGTGTATCATCCCATGTGCACACGACCCCATGTATACCTGAAGGAGGCCCAACTTCCCGACACAATTATCTACATGTGCACACCAACACGCACACGACCATGTATACACTGCTTCCAAACACCGACGTCAAGACAGCTCTGACAAGCGCAAACTTGGCCTCAAACACCACAGCTAAAATATATCTGGCACAAGTGTATTCCAGTCATGTTTCTTTTACTTATATACTTACTTATGCATGTTACTTTTGTTACGTTATGTTACTTAATTTCCTTCGTCACTTCTGTTACTGACCTACTTGTTAATAATTTTTCTGGTACTGATACTAGTTAGTTTTATTACTTATGATTTGTTACTAATTGAAACTGTTAGTTTTGTTACTTTATGACTAATATTTAATTGCATGTATCGTGGCTGAAGAGACCTAAACGAAGCGCAGTAATAGATCAATGTCACCAACATCGGTAGCAAAATTAGCCGGGATAGCAACACCGCCAAACATACTCAGCCGTCTGTCTCGGTACTCTCGATCTGTTCCATGTTTTGTTTTCTATACGTTTTTGGGGCTGGGATTATCAGTTTAATGACCTCCTTACTTGACTGACTACCTGGGTGTTGTTTTATCCGAGCAAGGGATTTTTCCCCTCTTTGGGTGCGTCTCATTGTATTCGTTGCCAGACGTACGATTAGACTCGTACTTGCAGCTGTGATGAATTCTTGGTAATTCTTTATTAATTGTTGTGAATTCTAAGAAAGGAGTAATCTCTTATGCTTTTAAATGAACCTCGTATATAAAAGCACCAACATCTTAAACATTATATAAAGTGTATACCGCGGCGCAGGTAAGACACTTCTGTAACACACAAAGATAATGTCATCGTTCTTCTCAGTAACACTCACCACTTATTTTAATTTTTAAACTCTTAATACGACAGAAATGAACACTTTTAAATAATATTCAGTGCTTGATTTTTTTTGGTACACTTCTCTTCTACAACAAAGATATCACTGTTCGTTTAAGTAACATTCAACATTTCTTCTTTTCCACATTACATTGTTGGTGCACTATTCTCACACAAAGCAGAGAATATATTATGCATGAAACGATAAAAACCAAATTTAAATGGTGTTGAAGATTATTTTAAACAAAAATAATTTTATACTCTTGTGCAACAAGAAAATCGGGGGATTGTTTCCTGTTTAAAAGGTTAAGTTTCATCCCGAGTAAATGGTCAACTCTTGGCAAATGATTTATTTTTAATGTACGCTGCTCTTCCTTGTCAATTTTGTCATAAGAACATGAAGATAAATCTATAAAATAAAGAAATATCCCAGATTTAAATGTACGCTGCTCTTCCTTGTCAATTTTGTCATAAGAACATGAAGATAAATCTATAAAATAAAGAAATATCCCAGAAAATAAATATCAATATCCCAATTACCCAATGACCCTTTCAAATTGATGCCAGATATAACCAGAAGCATCGAGGGAATTTCAAAGTTAATATTTCACTCACTGCATCCACCTTCGGCATCTAATCCCTAAAACAGATAAGCAAGTTAGTGTTTATAAGTAATGGTACACATGCACGGACTTAGTTCTCGCCTCAATATGCACTATTTATTTCCAAGGTTTGAATCTTCCCGCCTTCTTTCAAGAGTAAACACGTCACTGAAAATCATAGACGAAGGAAGAAATCTATAAATATAAACATACTATCATACACACACACAAGGACTTTCATACACATATATACACTCGCAAGAACTCGCACTCATTTACCCCCTTCTGCTGTACCTTTTCACACTTACGGTTATTTTTCCTTGAGTAGAGCGATTAGCTGTCTTGTCTTGAGCTTCCGTCAAGTAAAAAAAAATAGGAATAAAAAATGTATAATAAAAAGACGTAAATTAACAAAGAAAATGTAAATAAAAACAACTACAATAAAGAAAATGAAAGAAAAGAAAAGAGAGAAAAAAAAAGAAAGCCCAATTAAACCCAATTTGTCACTATATAATCTCACCAAAGTACCACATTATCACGAATGACTTTGTATAAAACGCTGTACTATCGTCTCGGGGGGTATATATAATAAATAATTGTCGAGGTCATTTATAGGAGGAGTCTTGCGTGACCGAGGACGGTTGTAATTGGTTCATTAGTGATTTAATGTGACCTAGATATGCATTAGTATACGACCTTCAGATTAGTGATGTCATGGGTATAGTTCCGACATGGTGTTGTGTAGGAGAGAGAGAGAGAGAGAGAGAGAGAGAGAGAGAGAGAGAGAGAGAGAGAGAGGATGTGGGTGTGTGTGTGAAAGAGACAGCCAATCGTACATGTCCAACAAATACTCATAAACAGCAATAATAAGCCTTTAACATATTCAAATCCCATAAGGTGACACCAAAATGCAAATTATCATCACATTAAAAGTTCAAATAAGGTTAAAGACAAAAGAATGAGTCAAGCGTTGGGGAAAGTAACAAAAGAAGACAATTAAGACAAAGCAGGTCATCGCGTGTTCTCCCCATCAGGTAACAACAGGTAAGTTATTCCCAATTCATAAGGTATTTTCACGTTCATTAGCCAAACCAGGTGTTAAGTTATTCATTACTGACCTCTTTACATCTTTAAATTCTTACCATACGTATTCTTGACCTATTCTAAAAAAAAAAAACATTCAGGTAATATGAAACAATATTACATGAAAAGGGTAAAAATTACAAATATAATGGTAATATTATAAGAAAACTCCGACAAACAAAATGTAAAACCTATTTGATCAGAAAATTGGTAATATTACAAGGGAGGAAAAAAAAAAGTATATAATATTTCAGACCCTCCACCACCACCTCACCTAACTAGATAGTCTAAACTTTTCACTTCCCCCAAAATCAATAACAACACCCGATTCACCTACATCATTACAGTTCACCCAATGGATTAACACACATGCAATCTATTAACATTCTGTCTCATTGCTAAATAATAATGCCTTCATGTATATCTGAAGCCACTTTCTAATCATCTTTATATCTTTCTTTTTCTCTCCCTTCTCTCTCTATACTCACACAGGATGGTATTCACGTGAGTAACCCAGTGCTAGATTTGTGTGTAGATGATTATATGAACGTGTGTGTCAGGGTTTGTTACTGTGTTTGATGTTTGTGTTGTTTTGTAGATATGGCGTTGTTATGTTTATGCACACACACACACACAGTGAATTAGTCAAGCCACCTGTCATCTTCCTTGACATATCAACAATGATGGTCACGTCACTCAAGATATTAACAGACTCACAAGATCATTACTCACAGAGGTAGGACCATGCACAAGACACTACTGACTCACAGAAAAAAGACCGTCAGACATTTACTAACTCATGTAAAGTAAAATACGAAGACGTTTACTCACAAGACTCACACAATACAAAGGAACACATCTTAGTCTTTACCGTACGGTGCGCTAAAACTCAACAAAGAAAGAACCTAAATATTCTCCATAAATGCTATACTGTATTCTAATGCCTCAAACAGCAGTACAGAACAAGTTGTGTTTGAGGTTTTGTTTTCACTGCTGCGGCGGACGAACAGTGTGTATAGTGACCCTACGCATATTTTCTATCTTGCGTTTTATGTGATTTTTACTGCGCAAAGTCCGTAAAAAATATGCGTCAACGAATACTCTGGAATTGGTATCGAATTACAGACAAACACACAGCGAGAAAATGTAATTAAGTGTATTTAATATTTTGTTTTTCTTATCTTCCAAGTGATAAATAGAATAATGGCTTAAATTATATCCTAGGATGAAGAGATCTTGAATATCCAAATCAGATAAAATTTTACAGGAGTGACAGCACACAAGACCCGAGACAACAGATCCCATGTAGACACTTCACCTCCCGGGCAAGATGACAGACACACACACACACAACATATTTACATTGTGCGAGGCTATATAGACTGCGGAAACGTAGCAAGCTATTACAGTCAGAGGCAACAGCTTCATCCTTGCCAAGTCATCAGGGCAGATCAGACAACATTAAGGGAGATCATATTGTCTGAAGATCATGTGTGGTCCTGTGAGACAATTAGCCTAATGAAGCCCTGGATGTACTTGAATGCATAATAATAGTGTTATTTTATACAATACATCGAGACAGTTTCACCTAGAACAATGGCGGGTCCTGCTCAAGCAAGAGACCGACCTCCCTCACCTGAGACATAATTACACAGTTGCTGGCCTTCAGGTAAGTGAGAAAAAAGAAATAAAAAAATTTGTTTTATGTTCTACTTTTTTTCACTTTCGTCTATACGTCTGAAGCCGATAAGCAAAAAACAAAACAAAAACCAGCCTCCAGGGACCTAAAACCTCAACAAGGAAGATATTACACGAGTTAAGTCTAATTAAACAAGATTAAATCAGAGTAATTTCTCAATGTTCTTCCTCGTAGGCAAAGTCGCCCACCTCTAAAGTTCTGCTTGCCTCATCACGGCTATTTAATCGCGGCATCAAAGCGGCCACAGTTCTTATCGGTCATGATACACCACATTTTACTCTGCTGCCCTGACACACACATACACACACACACACACACACACACACACACACACATACACACACAGTCTCCTTGGCCGCCTTCTGGGATGTGATGTATAGCGGTGGGCTTCAAGACTGGTGATTAAATGCCACAGTGTATCATGTCTCTCGTAGCTGTCTCTCCCGTCTCTCGTAGCTGTCTCTCCCGTCTCTCGTAGCTGTCTCTCTCCCGTCTCTCGTAGCTGTCTCTCCCGTCTCTCGTAACTGTCTCTCTCCCGTCTCTCGTAGCTGTCTCTCTCCCGTCTCTCGTAGCTGTCTCTCCCGTCTCTCGTAGCTGTCTCTCTCCGCTGTCTCTCTCCCATCTCTTGTAGGTGTCTCGAGGTCATACATATCTGGCTTGTTTTACGGTGGGAGCCAGTGTCAACAACTGCTTGCTCCGCTAATTAAAGCTTATCTAATTTCTTTGATGAGCGAGATTAGATTTTGTATGTATGTATGTATAGCAGGATTGATTTGCTTGGTGTGTGTGTGTGTGTGTGTGTGTGTGTATGTGTGTGTGTGTGTGACTAAGCAGGTACATACGTGCCTCATACACTTCCTTGGTATCCACATGGACTAAAAAATATCCACACTTAATGACTATACTAATATTTTATAACTCACGAGTCAGTTTACCTCAGATGTTCATAATGTTTTTTTTTTAAGATCATCATATATCATCTTATTTACTGGTCTCCTCGAGGTTAAAGGAAGCGGATAATTAAGTTTCCTCCACTTTTATGTCGTAATATAACTCCTAAGTAATTTAAACAGTTCAGCTGAGAAAAACAATGGGCGCGTTAATATCAACACTATTTACATGAGCTGGGCGACAGGCTCACGACACACATTATCACCAGGTACATCACCGCTACACTTGCACCTCGATGTGCCGCCACCGACACTAGACTTTCCCGTTTGTGTTTATGAGCTGCGAGGGGATGAAATATGGGTTTAGGTTATGTTTTTTTTCTTTTCATAAGAGGGAGACTTTGTCTATATTTGGTCTCCCTTGATGACGTAGCGGGTGACGTCACAATGTTGACTCCTGAGCCACAAGGGGTGTGAGTGTCGGGAACTTGGCAAGTGCTGTTGCCTTGGTATATGTCTTCCTCGATATTTGCCTCGGCTAAGGTTCTCAAACACGTATGAATAAGCCACTAAGGAGACCTACAGTAGACTTATTGACTAATGCGGCGACACTAACTCCATACACCGAACTTATAATTGAAACATATCTCCTTTCCTTAAATGTTATTACGTACATAATACACTGTTTGTCTTGGTTCTAGGTCTTTAATAATCAACACACCTTGATGCTCCTTCACACTCAGTTGTTTCTAAGTTACTAAACTGATATAATAGTTCCCCTACTTACGCTGTTGGCTACGCTTGTATTAAGGTAATTTATGGTAAGTGATGAACAGTAAAGGTAAGAGGACTAGCCTTGAGGTACACCACTTGTGACTGTTTCTCATTCAGATTTCACATCGTTACTGTCAACCCTTTTGTATCCTGTTAGTTAATCAACAATTAATCCAATTTAAACTTCCACCCGATGTCTTAACCTCGTGTGGGAACCTGTCAAAAGTTCTGCTAAAGTCAAGGTATAGCGACAATAATTTTTAATCAACACTATTGTCAGCTGTTTCGAAAACGCTTGAAAATAAAAAAAAAACCTTGTCCGATGTGAAAGCCTTCTGGTAAAGTCATGCTGAGTCATTATTAATCAATTTGTGCTTTTAAAGGTGATTACGAATTGAAATTGGAATTAAAGTTTCAATCAAATATCCCACAATTGATATTAAACTAATTTGACCAACAGCTTGTAGTTAAAATATATCCACAATTAGATATACGAGAACCTGTCTAGTTGAACTATTGGTCTGTGATGTCTGTCAGGATATTGTTGAATTTACGCAGATAATTATACAGTAGCTTGTTCGGAGAGGTAATTCGACGGAGAAGTCTCGGATAATAATGACTTTCTTTCGATATATGCGTGAAATTGCCCCCCCACACACACACACCTGTTCTGTACTACTTAGGAGTGGGGAGAAGCGAGGCATTTTCCCACATAACATAGCGCAACTGTCACTAAACAGTTTCCTTAAAATGAATCTTCTCCCTCACCTCCTCCATCACCACTCTTGACCTTGTTCGAGGGAGGGAGGGACAGATGGAAGGAGGGAGAGAAGTAGAGAGGGAGGCAAGGGCAGGGGAAGATGAGAGGATACAGAGGGGGGGGGAGACGCTGGTATCATGGCATGTCATAAATTATGTGTAGTGAGTATATCTAACAGGAGACACGCCACGCCTCAGTGAAAGTGCAGGAGGACCACCCACCCCTCCCCCAAGCACCACCTCCTATCCCTCGCTTTATTTATTGACAGACCATTGAGTTCTTGCCCCGGGTGATCCCTCAACTTTAATTTAATTTTATTATTTTCAGATACAATAATACAGAAAGTTAAGATATATCAACTGAATTTTATTATTTCAAATACATTAATATAGAAACACATATTAATGAAGGTAAAGGGTGAGCGATGCTAATGTATTACTACGCTTCAACAACTGACGTCTTTTAAACATATTCTACGCTAGTAAACACAACAGTCATCAACAGTGGCAACATTAACATTTAAATAAATACAAGTTTAAGTAATATGATATTCGTTAAGCTTGTATAAAAAACAAATTTCTCTCCGAAGTATCAGTAGAAATAAAGACTAGAGTATATACTTAGGATTTTTGGCCAAAAATACTTTTTTCTCTCTGAATTAAAATTTAATGTGCCTAACTATTTAAGTACATGCAGAATAATACACAAGCACCAAGAAATGACCTCGAAATCCCATAAGTGGCGAGTAATTAGCATTGCAAAAGTAATTAAAATATTCTAAGAATCATTTGAACATTTTCTAAAAGCCATTTGAACAAGTTATAATCAAGATATCAAATTTTGGTTAACAGATCCTTAAGCAGCACATTCAGGAGTACCTATACTGAAATTTTGAACAAATTCCATTTTTTGGCCGAAATTGACAAAAATTGTAAGTCTAAAGCCTTAAAGGATTTTTGGCCAAAAATACGTTTTCTCTCTGAACTAAAATTTAATGTGCCTAACTATTTAAGTACATCCAGAATAATACACAAGCACCAAGAAATGACCTCGAAAACCCATAAGTGGCGAGTAATTAGCATTGCAAAAGTAATTAAAATATTCTAAAAATCATTTGAACATTTTCTAAAAGCCATTTGAACAAGTTATAATCAAGATATAAAATTATGGTTAACAGATCCTTAAGCAGCACATTCAGGAGTACCTATACTGAAATTTTGAACAAAATCCATTTTTTGGCCGAAAATGACAAAAATTGTAAGTCTTATGCCTTAAAGGATTTTTGAGCAAAATCTAATTTGGGACGAAATGCCAAAAATTGTAAGGCTTACACCTTACAAAATTTTTGACTAAAATATGCTTTTTTCTCAGAATTGAAATT